GCAGCAGGCTACCTAGTGTATTTCCCAGTAGATGACGACTGATGACTTCAGTGATGACGACTGTGCTCTGAATTTTATCTGGATTGTTTCATGCTGCAATTTTTTGAGCACTAAGATTACATGCATAATTCTGTGAAAGCTGTTCCAGCTCTACAGGAAGCTAGTGCCCTTTTGAGTTGGTTCTTACTTCAGATGACTTAAAAATACAATTAGTATAATTTTGCTTCCTAAGAAGATGTATTTTTTTATTTACTTTGCTGGCACCTGAATAAAAATGACATTAAGCCAAAGAAGGCTTAAGGTAACAGGAAGAGGGAAACTCAACTTTTATCTCATTTTAAAGATGGGAACATATCCACTTGAGAAAACAGACTAAGTGGTTTTAACCTTACTTTGCTCTCCTGGTCTTGTAGAGGTTTGATTCAAGCTTATAAAATCATCCTGCAGGGACAGAACTGTATTTACAGACTTTCATTTTTAATCAACAAAACTTTCACATCCTCTTCTATCATTCATGCCAGCAGTAGCCTGCGTGATTTCCAGCAGCCTAGCTACTATAACACATGTCAGCATAAACTGAAAATCCACCCAAGAAGCAAATTACTGATCTCCATAATCCTGCAGCAAGACTGCTACTGTGTGATTTCCAGCAGCCTAGCTACTATAACACGTCAGCATAAACTGAAAATCCACCCAAGAAGCAAATTACTGATCTCCATAATCCTGCAGCAAGACTGCTACCGGACCTTGAGTGAGTTTGTTTAAAGTTAGCTTGGCTAGACCTACACTATACTGCAATGACTGTGATGTATTATACCTGAAGTGTTCACTGTGTGAGAAAATAACTTAGCTGGCTAACAGTAACATGCCTTGTCACATTTTACAGAAGAAAATTCAACAGGATATTTTCAAAGGCTGTTGTAAATAGAGTAGCATCCCTGACTTGCTGGGAAGAGCTTCCCAGTGATAAAACACAGGGCAAAGTAAACAACAAACTGAACAATTGGAGTAAGCATTGCCAGAATAAAACATTTCCCTAGCCAATTAGTAGGAAGTTCAATCTTACATACTTAGAGCCTAGGATAGGTCTCAGTTAATGGAGCTAAAAGTTCCCATATGAGAAAATCATACAGATTTTTAGTAGAAATTAAACTGAAATAGAATTTTATGGAAATTATTTTGCATAGCTGAAAGAAAAAAAAAATGCAGAAATAACAGAAAATTACGTAATTCCTATAGATGTCCTACAGCAGCTGTAATGACTCTGTGCATCAGAGACTATCCATTTTACAGATATTCCAAACCAGTTGGAGAGCTGTACTGAGTATTGTATCAGTTCTGGATAACTCCAGAAGCCGGTTTACGTGAAGGACTTCCATTCCCTATTCAGTTCTGTCAAATTTTGTCAAAATGACAGTTTGTTTACAAATGTCTACAAAACCAGATGGAGAAATTCGAGGTGATAATTATTTGCAACAACTTCTGTAGTCCTTTGTTTGGATCTCTGAATCCAAGACCAAAGAAAATCAGAAGAAAGTGCCACTACCTTTACTGACTTTATTACGGGAGCTCTAGAAGGCAAATCAGTACCATTTGAAGCTTCTGAAAAATTAAAGATTTAAGCACACCAGGCATGAAAAGCTGCTTTTTGAGATACACAATGCTGAACTGCCACAACCTTATGTCTTCTGCCAGTAGTGGTACAAGCACTGTAGCATTGAAATGGTTAGCATTAATAGCTACAGCTAAAGCCTGTGGCCGGCAATACCAGTTTCCTCTTGCAAAAGAAATAACCGTGGTAACCCTGTGGTACAAGCTGGCTAATACTAACTTTTCATTGGTGGCTTTTGTACTGCTGAGGATAAAAATTCAGTCTGTTTTGAAGGTTTTGATGTGTTCTCTGATACACATCGAATATCCAAGTAGCAAGTCTTACATGCTGATGTCTAGATAACTATACAGTTATCTGCTCTTACAGAAGAATGACCAGAAAAGAAAATCTTTCAGGATCAAAATGGAACCTTTGCTATGGCTTATGACAAATTTAAATACACAAATAGATGATTAAATTATTTCACTTAGAACCATTTTGTTACTCTTTTTAAGTAGAACACAGTTCGGGTTACCCAAGGCCTTTCTTCCTCACGTTTTCTTCAATGGTGGTAACCAGCAAATGATACAGCCTTGCATGCCAGAAAGCATCATGTGGCAATACTTTTGTCATATGATGGGATGGAAAGAATTTCTGTTTAGTTATTAGAGAGTGTGCAGCGGGAGTTTACAGATATCAGATCTTTGTTCAAAGCCCCTGAAGTCAGATGCAAAGCTCGGTCAGTTTGCATTTGTAATTTTTCATGGGAAAATGAGAACTCTTCATAAAGCTAGCACTATACAAGCCTCTATGACATGATCTTAAAGGACATAATCAGCAGAATGTTTCTGTGGCATTTCTGTTGGCAAGAATAGTTTGAAAAGGGGATTGAGAAAATTTCTTTTACTATTAAGTGAATATAATTCCATTCTTCATGCACATCTCTGCAGAGGTAAAGTCCTCTTATTGCAGTGCTTTTATCTCATTGTTACTAGTTCCTGGGTCTTTTTTATGAGCTCTTCAGTGAATCAGACTGTTTTCTTCTTTTCATCTATGTAATTTCTTACTCACTGTTATTTTTAGGTGAAACTTTGGTTTCTCACATGCCTCATGGAAATATAGGCAAATGTGAAAAACATCTACTGGAAAAATCTCCATACTTCAGGAGGCCCAAAGGATTTAATAATCAGCATGAGATTTTCTTTATGAGATTACTGACTCTTTTGTTTTAAAAATATAGTACTAATACTAAACAAACAAGCAGAAAACCCCAGTTGCTTCTCTTTCTCAGTGTTTATTTTTGGATGTCTTCCAGAATCGTCTTTTGACTGTGGTCGCTGACATCCTGGGCTAAGGCAGCATTCACTATCCTCAATATTACTAGAGGGGCTTTGGGGATTTAAAAATTTTATTTATGTTTTTTAACAGGGAGGAGCCAGTATTCTGGTTTTGTTGTTTTGTGTTTTTTTCAAAAAAGAAAAAGCAGCAGAATGCAAATGGCAAATTAAAGACTGATTCACTGGTTCCAACATCTGACCAAAAATATGTCAGCCATGTGTTATGGTGAGAGGGGGATAAACCCTCTGGTAGAGACTTTAAAATCAGAAAAAAAGTACAAAGTGCCATTCTTTCCTGTAAGAAATTTTGTAGTTTAGCCCCTTGAAATTATTGCATATGAGTAGAGTGTAACACTCTCCTCAAACTTCAGGTTGGCTGAACTTTTCAAAATAAACAAATTTCTGCTTCACTTCCACTTGCTGATGCACTTAGGAGTAGAAAGCTAGCTGAAGATACGGCCAATTGCAGGTTTATTCAGCCTGTAAGTCATGGCGTATTGGACCAACAGACTACAGTTCTTATTCCTTCCCCACCTACTTCTCACCCTACCCGGTGAGAAGTAAGCATTTTCACACTCCCTGGCCAGCAAGACTTTGTAATTAATTTCTCATCCCAGTTATGCAGAGCATAGAATGTTTTCCATTCAACAAAAAGAAAATGGCATGGCTTGCGTGAAATTTAAAGCCTTGCATCAGCCTGACATGGACCACTGGTCCCTGACAGCTCTTCACACAACATCTGCTTTGCTCATCAGCTGGCCCAAGGCCAGCAGTGGCCTTAGAAAGGGGAAGACTTTTAAGTGGGAGTGGGAGTAGGAGAGGATCAAGTGCTGTCCTTGGAAGAAAAAACATTTAAACCAAACTTAGCAGTAGGTGAAGAAAGGAAATCCTGGCTGATCATCTGGGTCCACTACAGTAAGATTCAACAAACAAGTTAAATCAAGAGTTTAATCAATTCATTTAATGAGAAAAAGGTTCAGTGCAGTAAGAGTCAAGGTAACATATTCCGTAAGAGCAGTAAAAGATGGAAGAGCAAGAAAAAGAAGGTATTATGTCTTCAAACCAATCTTGGCAGCACTTCCTTTTGGAACTTGAGCTTTCTGGAAGCAAACTATAAATACTCTGAAAAAGAAAGGAATTACAGGAGAGAAAATCTCCATCTTAGGAGAGGAGGTCTGACACATATAGAGCGCCTTACACTTTGTGAGCATTCTAAGAGCTGGTGATGTGGCTGAAGGCTACAACATGCAGGATCAAAAAACCCCAAACTTGCTTCACTTACTCCCTAAGCAAAGCAGTGGACCACACTTTTTTTCCATTCCTTGGCTTTCATTGACTTTATTGAATTCACTCTTCAACTTCTCAGCGCAAGAAGATATCATTAGTCCATAACAAGAATTATCCCTACTGAAGTAGCATCAGACAGGAAGAGGGAACTTCTGTGAGAAGACGCATGGATGGGAAATATGTACAAGAGTTCAATAAGCAGATTCACTTTGTTTAAAATTAGGAATGACTTAAGCTATGTGACTTGTGGATGACTTTTCTGAATCACATTGACACCATGTGTTTTTCAATGCCTGATGTTAAGCACTTAACATGTTTCTTATTTTATTACTTATGAGCTGAGTTAATAGAATGTAAAAAATCAGCCTTTTAGACAATGATAATACCCAGTTTGTGTCCTCTGAAGAAAATAATGTAGATACAAGCTAAGCTGAAGTACAGTAACTCTTAATTGCAATCTGAGCAGGCACTGACATAGACCAGTAAGTGTGCAGAGAACTTTAATGTTGACAGATGCTTAGTGCAGGAACTGGGAACAGCACTTCTAGAGTTAAATATGTATATTTCTGCTTCTGCATCTGGGATTAAACTCTTCTTGACAATTCCCTTTGGCTTACATTACTGAACTAGATAAGATAAAATTAAAGTCCAAGCAAACATAAGCAGTCTTTAAAAAAAGATATGGTTTTATACTGTAAGATAATAACTGTCAGCTAATAAAAGTTTGAAGCGTTAGCATAGCTGGAAACAGTATTACATGAAGTGATCCCAATACTGCAACTTACCTCTTCCCTATGATTCTTTATTGGCATACAGAGAATACTCTGAGTCTTATACCCTGTGATCTGGTCAACTTCTGCATTGAATCTTGGATCCTGATACAAGAAAAAAAAACACAATTATTTGACTACTTGCCTAAAGACCAGTTCTTTTTCCTCTCTGTTTTAAAGGTTAAGCAAAGCCAGTATTTGACTTAACCGTTACCCAGGATAACAAAGGTTCCATTACTAGCTATGTAATTATATAAAGTTGTTACTATCAATGTGTTAAAACAACAACAAAAAAGCAGTTATGTGGAATATGAGTGCCTGTGGATAAATACAACTGCCAGAAAGAACAAAAAAACACCAAATCCTAAAAGGAGCCTTTCTTGAGCCTAGACATCATTATAATAAATGTATACCATCCCTAGTATCGCTTTTATCATCAAGAAGAAATTACAGAAATATACTGGAAGACATATAGCCACAGAAGAACAAAGTTTCATGAATGTGATTAGTGTTTTTGCTTTTACCAGAGGTTGCTTGTGTCATTTTTTCAGCTGACTATTGTTATAAAACTCTGATTTTTTAAAAATCTTACTTAAGGAAATCAGACTATTTTTAAAAGGCTGCTGTTCTTTTTCTAATACTTGGTTTCAAATTGAGCATGATGGACTCAATTCAAGAATGAACTTTTAAATTATAAGAACAGCTGATGTCCTCCTGGAAATCAGGAAATACTAAGCAAATGTTTAGACATTTTCTGAGGCAGCAAACAAGTGTTTGTTGAAAATGAAACCATATGAAATCAAACCACTCTTTTTTGCTTCTGAAAAAAATCTACTCAGTAATGTTACTTAATTCTGTAAACATGCTCAGATTAATTGAAAGATGATCAATCAGAAGCAGTAATTTTCAGCTCTGCATGCCTTTAGTAATTAGTTAATCAGTTAAGTAATTCAATAAAATTTACATCATCCCTAAATTCAAAGCACAAAATCAGCATATCCAAAGAGCCTGGAAGGAAGAGATGTCCTCTCCCAGTGCTGGATTCTCTGCCTTTTTTCATCCGGCCTTGTATTAAATAACTCAAATGGCAGAGTATCATTTCATTTGGGAGACCTCTATACAGTTCAAACCCTCATCCCGTTCTTGTTCATTCAGCTGCTACTCTTTGTGCCTTAGATATGATAAAATCCTCCGAAGTATTTTTAGTCACAGAACTCCAGTTTTGCAATGGCATTCACAGTTTCACTCATTTTGGTGCAGAAGTATCTTACATCTTTATACAAGTAGAAATTTAAACATTTAAGTGTCCAAAGCTAGAAATGCAAATACTGGTGTGCATATAGCTGGTTAAGATGGGTCTGATACCTGACTGCTTAATGTCAAACTTACATAATTTATTTTCATGTCAGTATTCCTCTAACATTAGTCATAGCTCCATGCTTCTGGATACACAGGTATCTGTAATACATGTATTATAACCAAAACCATGGTGTCAGGTTTACATCTTGACTGGCTTAAGTCAATATATCTACAAGTACATATACTAAAATGGCAATATTACAACAGCTGATAATATGGCTTTTCCTTTTTTCAAGAATCATTCAAGATAAATTTTTTTGGTTTACCTCATACGCATTCTTGATGTTCAGAGGCTGGCCTATAGCTGCTACATGACCCACAATGCCCTTGTTCCATTCCAGGCGAATGCAGTTGTTGGAAGCTTCTTCCAGGGTAGAGCCTTCTGCCACATCAAAAAGCCTGCTTACAAGAAACTTCTCATTAGAGCTATCCTCACAGACCAAGAACAGGGAATAGCGATCAGCTGCTATAAGCTCATGGATATGTAGGAAAATTTTATGGCAAAGTGCTGTGACATCTAAGTGACTAGAAATATCTTTCACAAGTTCTAATAGTCTTGAGCATTGATCCCCTGCACTGGTCTCAATCCTTGGAGATTGCAGAGGCATCTGTTCCTTCTTTTCAGAGCCGGAGAGGAAGCTCACTGCTCCCACTGAGTCCTTGACAAAAATAGGCCTTAAGGGTCTGTCAAATTCAGAAGCAGAGATTTTCCTCACTGGTGTCCCAGAGTTGGTGGTCTCAGCACAGGCAGGCTGGTGACAAGCGCAGGATTCACTCTGGGACTTGCTTCCCTCCTTGCAGACTGGGATGGTATGAACTCTCTCAGCAAACCATGCATTAACCATTTCTCTGTAAAACAAAAATAAAACCACAATGAATAAGTTGAAAATCCTCAGGAACTAATACATATTTGAAGAGGACACTGCAAAGAGGATAGCTTTAAACCTTTTCATACAGTGGACATGAGTGCACCTTCAGTGCTCCTCCTCTGTATCAACATTCTTCAGTTTCACACAGCACTTAGCCTAGATTAAGCAGTAATGTTTTATGCCCCATAAAAAGGAAGCTATTTCTGCCTGAAGGAAATACCTGAACGGAGCAGAGGAAGACTGCTTATGCTGTGTCTTTCAGAATATAGAAGATCATAAGTTTACACCATAATTTTGTGCTTGAAAAGTTCTGGTCCTTCCCATTCCTAAGATTTTAATTTCTTTATAAGATGTATATATATTCATATGAAGACAAAACTTTCTGTTTTATTTCTGTTTTTCTAGACCATTTCTAAATTTTAAAAAGACAATTCTGAACTTTCATTCTCGTTTGTCAAATCACCTGCAGCCCCTCCTATTTTTGTTGCCTATACACTATTTTTAAGTTAACTTCCCCTGCTCTATAAGAGTTAATGAAAAAATGCTGTTTTGACTCAAAGCACAAAAGTTTTCCTTAAAAACTGTCAGAAAGAAACATGAATATTTCTAATTCAATCCCCTTCAAAATAATGAAAAGAGAGACTGTTTTCAGGCATCTCTCCTATTTCCTTTCCTTGGAGATGAAACCCATTGCCTAACTCAACCCAAAATACTGAATACCCCCAAGATTATATTTTTGAAGTTTACCATTAATTAAAAAATGTCATGCATCTCTAGTATTTAACTGTGTTTCTCAAATTAACTTAGCACTAGAATGTTAACCATAATAATGTCTTCTCTAAATACAGCGTATCTTGAATTATCCATAAGCACATGTATCATCGAGTATACTTTTCCTGATCACTATAATATTTTCTTGTCCAAAATCTGTTGGTTTTGTTGTTGTTTTTTAAATATAGGGCTTTTTATTTCATTTACTCAGTGCTGAGAATTCCTCACACCACATGATCTACTCTCAGAAGAAATGTTTTTCTTCTGAATTACATAACGTATGGGCCTATGAACAGCAAAAATCGTATTAAAAAGTATGATCTTTTGGAAACCTTTCATGGTGGTCATGTTTTAAATTTGGGATATTTTTTATTTGCTCAGCAGACCACAGGAATTTCAAGAGTGAAGCTGAATGAAACCATGGAAATTAGTCAGGTTAGTCAGCCGCTGATCGGTTACGTGCATCAGTATACGTTAAATATGAAAAGTACTGTACATGGCCTTTTCTTCCTTACAGAACAGCTTCATCTATGTTGTAGAACGCAATACTGCAAGTGTAATTAACCATTAATTCGAAGTAAAGTAAACAATTAAAGTCCGTTAGTATTATTTTTATTAGCAAGCAATCCACAACAGAAAACTTATTTGTCTTCTGTTAGAAAGGTTTGAAAGAGTTTTTCAGATTTTGCAATCACGTATCTTTTGGAGACCTCAACTGTAGGCAAACATGCTATGAAAAATTGAATTTACTTAGGAAATAGTGTGAGTGTGAAGGGAGCACCTGGGCAAAAGAAAGTCATTATGTCACGGTACCCGTTCCACTTCAGTGAGAGCTGCCTGGTAATTTTTTTCCCCTCAAAAAAACTATGTCTGACTGAGTTAAATACCACTCAGTGTAGCACTGTAAAACCAAATTCTTCTCTTATTCACACCAGTGCAACACCAAATAAATGGATGATAGACTATTCTCTTTTGGCTTCTGTCTGTGTACTGCAGTCCCGCTCATGCAAAACCTTATATACATGTTTAATATCATTTATAGCCCCGGTGATCTTCAGGGCTGAATGGTCAGTGTTGGTCACACAGGACATCTGTGTCTCTTCTGACGATGATAGTCCAAAACCACTGAATGAAAGTCATACACAATTAAGGCAGTGGGAGTTTTGCCTCTGAGTTCCACAGAGCTAGGACTTCATTCAGTGTTTTTACATTTTCCATGAAGTTTCCGGAACAATGCTTGCTGTAGCAATAATATACTTCAGTCAACATCTATTATAAATTTCTCAGCAATCTAAAGTTATTCAAAATACTGGAAACACGGTGCCAGAGAGCACAATGAAATTCCATTGTTATTCTGAGAGAGTTTTGGTTCACTGCTTAGCTACTTATTTTTAAAGGAAGTAAGCTCTGCTTTTTAAGTGTACTAATAAAAACTTCCTATGATCCTTATTTATTACAGCAGTGATACATATTTTTTTGTGGAGTTACCTCATCCAAATGTTTCTTGCAGTGAAGAAACATAAAGAACCGTTAATACATTATTAGAACTTTGACTTTAAGAAGATTACTTTACAATACTTAAACAGGATAAGTATTAAATATGGGAGCTGTGACCATGTATAACTGAAACGCATAACAGAATTTGCATAGGGCAGTATCACATTTGCAAAAGCTGCTTCAATGACAGTCAAAATAAGAAGCTAGCATTTGATCACATTTGGAATTTTCATTTATTAAACTGAATGAGAAAACAGAATAAAAATTTGTGATGAAAATGACCAAAAGTATTCTTAAGAAAAATAAAAAGTATAAAATGCAAAATTTGTAACTAAACCCAGTGCAACCTCTAAAATCAGCACTGATAACTCTGTCATCATATGAGTTATAGGTGGGATCTTTTTTGTTTTACTCTAATCTCCTCATGAAAAGAAATTACTTGGAAATTTTAGCATTTTTCTTAACAAAACTGTGCATCTAGCACTAAAGCTGCAGAAAAGAACCTGAAAATGTGAGCTGGGTGCATTTAAAGTCTCAGACACAGGAAGGGAGATACAGAATAATAAATAGTTTTAAAAGAAGGCTTGCGATTTGACCCAGTTTCATGATTGTGTCTGCTGACTTGATTTTTGATCATCGAGGACTGGCATTAATGTAAAATAAGATTTAAAAGTACCTGTAGTAACCTTTTATCAAATGGAGAGCGTTCTTAAACTAGCAAGTGAATAGGTATAAGAAGCAGTGCACTTCGTCTAGGCATGTTTGAAAATGCACAGGTGTGAACCTGTACTATTGCTGAGTGACAGCAATTTGTAGAGCAGTCTGATTCACTGCTTATTTACGCATGAGGAAAGAAGAATATAAAATTCTATCATTTTACCTAGCTCTGTTTTACACTGAATTTACACGCGATGTGTTGATATAAGATACAAGGCAGAGAAAGAATCAGGTACTCTTTGCGGACAAAGCAAAAGCTAAAGCAGAAATTTGGTTTATCAGTTGAAACCTAACATTTTATTTATTCTGGAGTGTTTTGTAATTATGTCCCCGGCCTTAATGGTGTAGTAATAATAATAATCAGTAAGAACAATGTATTCTGAATTCTAGTATCAGTTCGCAAACTGTGGCCATGAGATAATTAGTTTTTACCTTCTTGCCTTTTTACTATGTAAAATAAGCTTTCATTCTCTATCTTATGGATGTTATTGAGGTTACAGAACATACCTGTAAAATCTCTCACATGAAATTAATTACATTTCTTTAATAAGAACTGACTACTTGCTAGGTATCTGCACTATTTATGAAGCACTTTGGCATTGAACAGAACTATATGTGGAGCTGCATAATTATGAGTAACACGTTCCTGTCCCCTTTAATGTCTCTTAGGTGATGGTCCAATAACTTGCCAACATAGTGTGCAATTCTCAAAAAGCTCTGTAGGTTAACAACACCACCACCACCACATCCTTAACTATACTGTTTAAAGCAAGGTTTTCAACTTCAAATCAATTAGGCATTTTTATTTGGGCAACAGGAAAGCCATTCAGATTCAGCTGAAATAAGAACAGTGTTCACTGACCTTTACTGAATGCCTCTTCTAACAAGGAAACTATTTAGCTCCTTTTACTCACACAGTTAAACACATGGGTGGAAGAACTAGCATTTCACATTAACTGATGTATTCTACCTCTATTTAAAATCTATCAGACAACATTTGCTTGTTGACACTCAATCCTATTTAACAATGCATGACAAGAGTATTATCACTAACACAACTACTTTCTCAGAACAGAATTAGCTCAACAGATATCCAATACCAGAAACATACTGAACCACAAGTGAGGTTACTAGAAATTAGTAACAAGTGCTATGTATGATTAAGATGTCATTTTGAAAGGACTACAGGAAAAAATAAACACTTGTGACTACTTGATTACAATGAATAATCTTTAGTAAGCACGGGTATTGTCAAGAATTGATTGTAATGACAAGACCCTTGCTGTCAAAGTAAGTTTAAAAGTTGCAGGAGTGTATGAAACAGGAGCAGATACTGATCTGTAGTGACCTACAAAGGTAGTTAAAACCAATGCAATGTCTCCTTCCCAGCATGGCAATCACTGCATGTTGAGGAGTTACAGACATCAGCATCCATTCCTCATGAGGTGCACGCATCCTTTACTACACTATGATCCTTTACTGCAGTATGAGCCTCCACTCAAGAAAGCTATAATTTATCCCAGAGTCTTATTCAAAATAGTTGAATATTAAGTAACTATTTTTCAGTCATTCTATCAGCCAAATCCAGTCTTTCCTCTATAAAACACAATTTCAAAGCAGGATGACAACAGTGACTGCTGAATTTGGCTGGTGACCTTATCTGCAGATGACAAAATTGGAAGGGAATTTTGAAGAGAGAGGGATGAGAAGGGGCTGAAAATACAATGGCAGGTAAAACATTTGAAGAAAAAAATTGTGTGATCCTCCCCTCTATAATCACTTGTATACAAGTACACATTATCTGCTTACATGAGAACTCAGGAACTTCAAAGGAATTAAGACTCTTTGGCCCTGATTTGTTAAACACTGTACAGAAAGTAGACTTCTCCCTAAAGCAAGAAGTTTTCAATATAAGTAGGCAACAAAAATAGAAAATCACTGGGTGAGAAAACATAGGCATAAGGAAGCGACATGGCTTGAGCCAGGTCATACAGTAGGGCACAAGCAGACCTGAAGACAACCTCAGGTCTAAGACCTGAAGAGAACCTTGCTTCATTTCCCATGCTGTATGTATCAAACTATGCTGACCTGACACTAATTACTATTCTGCTTATACACTGGAAATATTAAATAATTTATTGTACCCATCTTTGCTTCATTGTGATTATCTTCAAAATACACAGCATACGTTAAAAAGAAAAAACCCCAAACAGTTAAGATGTTTACAGAGTAACAGCCAGATTATAATTGTCTTGCTCACACATGTAACCATGCTACACATGCAAGACCATACCAGCGTGACCATTCAGCAAGTATTTGGTACCTTTGGACAAAATGCGCTAAAACAGAGCACGAAAGTAATACCAAGATGCAACAATGACAGTATACTGCATCTTACTTATCTTGCACAAAGAATGCATAATAATTACTGCACCATAAAAGCAATGAGTGATGAGTAGCTTTCAGTGAAACAACAAATAATTCCCCATTTTCTCTGTGCTCATAAATCTTTCATATATAAAATGTGTCATCTTTGAGTAGTTGTGTGGACTGCTTTGCTAATTTCTCATTCAAACCGGCAGTTACTGATAACACACTTCAGGAGAGGGATTCAATCCAAACCTGCCTACTAGAGAGTGCCAGCTTTCAAGTATCTGAATTCCTGTGGCCTAATTCTGCTAGTGTTGAAATCAACAATATTTCAAGCCAAGCTTCACAACTATTTTCTGAATTGCCTTCCTTAAAATAACCAGTAGATGTCTTCAAATTTCTTTCCTGCATCTTGACATAATTTAGACATAGAAATAATTTAAAGCATTAGCAACTAGTCAGTTTTAACAAATGAGTTTTAAAGTCAAAGTCAGTTGGATATTATACTAGCTTTCCCATTTTATTTCCAATACTTCCTATTTCACAATCATGTTCTAAGTGGTTTTGTCTCCTTTCTGGCCATGGAAAGACTTAAATAAACTGTATAAGGTCTCACTAGATGGAAACAGTAAACTGATTGTAAAAGAAGTGTTTTCAAACTAACTAAAAAAGTAGATTGGCAAAGATAATAGTTGTTTTTCCTTAAACACTTTCCAATAGTAGTTACTAGAGATACTATTTCTAACAGTGGTAGGCAAAAAATTTTTTAAGACAAAACATGACTTAAAGTCGGCACCAACTTTTTGGCACAACTCAGTCAAATAGAAAAGTATAGATTTAACTTTAAACACATTAAGTGGCCTGACTGACTTCTGTTTGAATACAGATGTAAATTAAGAACTCTAATTCTTGATTCAAACCATGCTCATGAAAGAGTGAAATAACAACCTTTTAGAACTATGAAATAATGTAAATCTTGTCTGAATGCTGGTATTATTTTTAAAATAGGAAGCAGAGGTTGCTTTATTATTTGAAGCAAAAGTATTCAAAATGGAGGACTAATACTAACAGGCTATTCTTGGCTATTGTCAAGTTTTCTTTAACAACCAAGCTGCAAGCTTAATTTTTCACAGGAAAGTTTTCCTCCATGGAAGTGACTTTCTATTCACACTATAAAGACAGACAGAATAAATCCTCAGGGACTGAAGGTCAAACTCTAAAACATGACTTTTATTTCTCCTCCAAATGTTTACTTCTTTTTCCAAGCTCAAAAAAATTAAAAATAACTATTTACCTAATGATTTTGTTGTAGAAAGCAACAGACAATGCCAGTGACTTTAGTGAAAAACAGATTAAAAACTTAAGTTCACGTCTGCCTGGAGACCTCACCTAAGTCTTAGGCACCACTTCAGTTCCACTTAAATTCCTAAAATAGGGGTTAAGTAGGACTTAAGTGGTGCAGAGGCTTTGGGATGGCTCTCTGTGCTGCGGTGAGTTCACCATAATGCACAAATAAATGGGAAAATATATATCTTTTACTAAGCAAATAAATTTTGTGGCTATATTTTCAGTGCCAGACCTTATGTGAAATTACAGCCATTGAGTTATTCACATGGGCCATTTCATTAGCACTTCTTTTCTGGCAATATGTAAATAGCTCCTGTTGTATTTAATGCCTTTTCTCTTTTCTCTTCAAGTACATCATATAAATGAGAAAGCATTCCATGTAAATTTATGTAAGTTTCTTTGCGAGTAAGGAAGAGAAAGACTTGTATTCTGTGGTTTTATTGATTATATTTATTTGTTACATTTATTAATTAGTTAATGACAAAAGAAAAATGCTTCCCTTTTAATGGTGAAATGAAAACAGGCAGTAGCATATTAGTTCAAGCCAAGATTGTATTGTCTAAATTTACTGTTTGTAATTCTTGATCTGAGTCATATATTCCCACACAATTCAGCTTTAATCTAGCATTCAAATAAGCATGAACGTAGGCTATGATGTACTTTATTTGATCTGAAGACATCACAGGTGATGTATAATGAATTTTATCCTTTTTCAGAGAGCTAGCACAATGTCTATACACTATAGAAATCTCACTTCAGCTTCAAAATTAGACTGATTGGTATTTTTATTTTATATATAACTCAGAGACGGAATTTCCTCCTCACATGATGATTCTTCAACAGATGTCCAAAACAAAACTTCCATGAACTTCTGAACAATTTGGAAATAAAAGTGTCTCATTTTCTTGACTCCCACAGAGGCAACGTATAACTCAGCTCCACTTTTCTTCCCAGTTGCCAGAAATTTGACCCTGTTACCTAAAGTCTGCCTAGTAAGAGCAAAAAAATGGAAATGAGATTTCAAATGCCTATTTGGCATTATCAAAAGTACTGTAATCTGATAATAAAGTTATCCTGAAACGAAAGAAGGCAAAAAGAGATGTTAACCGTTAAAGTAGTTCACCCCATCTTATTTTCTACCTGTCCTGTAAGGTTTACCAGTTGTATTTTAATTAATGTATTATGCATGCCCATTTGTTTCTTTATTACCTAGGGCAAACGGTACGTAGTAAAAGCACATTCTCCCTGTAGCTGCTCAGTACTATCTGCTGACTAATTTATCTTCACATCAAAGATTCTGTGTAGGAGTTCAGGTTATAGCTTTTTGGGAGTTGAAGATGTAAATTGTGAGTAAGTGATTGCTTATTGTTTCTCAAATGACAGTTTCTTCAGTCTGCGGTAATTGCTGTTTTAGACATTGTTTCCAAAATACGCCGGCAGACACCTAGCTTTATTTCCAAGAATAAATGCCAAAAATACTTAATCACATTTACAACTTCATGAATGTGGGTAACATTCCTTACCTTCCTGAGGTAGGAATTCTCCTTGAATCAAGAGTTTAAAACATTTTGGGATGATCTTAATACTTTGAAGTTATCAAGAAAGGCATAAGGATATGGATACATTATAAATAAGTGAGAGAACTACAGAGATTATTAAACCAACAAGAGAACTTTCCAAGATTTCATAGAAATCCATTTTTTTCCTGTACTTCGTTTTCAGAAAAGCTCTGTAAACATCCAATAAAACCAAGTAAAGTGGGAAAAAATCTTCTGATCCCTACATTAACACCACTACTTCCTGTGGTTTTCAAGCCATGGTCCAAAGAATCAGTGGGTCTGCAGTCCTCTTGTAAATGCTTTGCATAGGATAACTTAGAAAAGTAAGTCCCCTTTCAGCATATTTGAACAATTCACATAGGATTCTGTGCCTCCACTGGAAACCTGTTAGCGGTCCTTCAATCACAGAAGTTTAAAATCCACTGCCTACTTACTAAGGTCATGTTAGGGATGGATACGGCTCACAGTTGTATATTTTTAGGATTTTTTTTGTATGTCAGTAAGATCTTTTTAAGAAAAAACACAGGCCAAAGCACATTTCAATGCAGAAAATCTTCAACAGCTCTATCTTTGAAAATCTGAATTTTCATACACTTGCTCCAAAAATTAATTTTCTTTCAATTAGAAAAAATTAAGCACACATATATTACCAAACAAAACAATGACATAA